CAAAGATGATAAATTGAAAAACTCAACGGAAATAAAAAGCTGGAAGACTTCTCCATTCATTCTTTGTGTATAGATACGCTGAATAGGATTTAAACCCTGACAAAAGGCCACTGTCACATGGTGCACTAAGGCTGTCACATAGTGTACTACGTGGGGTACGAAGTGACACTTTGACTTGGCCCATTCAACTCGGGATAACTCAGCAACCAAAACAGATAAATTAGAAATCTCAACAGCAATTTTAAGGTGAAGAATCATTTTGTTCATATGACTGCTGATGGATGTAATGTGATTGGTAGTATTGGGTTGACGGGCACTTAACAAAAACCGTCACATGGTACCCCACCTTCCCTTAGAACGTGAGTAATGGAAGTGCACTGAGAACAAAAATGCTCAAATGTACCATTGATGAACTTTTTTTCACCCATTTTAGATTCATACAACTGGCTAATAAACAACCACGATCCATTCAGAGTCGCAGTTGAGACGGGGGACACAGGGACCATTTTCAAATGTTTAAATGTTGTATATCTCAAAATGTTGACTCAAAAAGATAGAGAAGAGTAGCGAAAAGAGATTCATAATATTCTGGTTTGTTTTACCCTACTACCTATAACTTGACCCAAGAACGATTTCTTGTATACTTTCTCTCAGAACGTACAGCAATTATGCAAAAGTTTGACTAACGATTATTTTGGTGAGAAAAGCTAAGGAAGTTGTCAGTTACGGTCCAAGTTCATGTGTAAACTTCTTCAAGACCTTGAAAGCAACTCCCACGTTGAACAGACCAATCAATTTCGAAATCTTAAAGACAGGCCTGCAAAGAAAAACGAGGAATTGATGAACACGTGAAGCTATAGGTACTAAAACTAGAGAAAAAAATGAGTTTCCCAGCTGACAAAGACTGATAAATGGAGTTCTGCACACTTAGACTTCCATTAGGAAACAAAAAATATAAAATATAAAGAAAGGGCATGAGCCATGTGTAAATTTTTTCATAAAAGACATCAAAAAACCATTTTCAGAATTCAGAAAATAAGCAATTGCATTGCAGGTCAAAATCATAGACGCACAGGTGAAGCTACTGATGTGTGGCCAGACACAGACACAGCGCACGTAACCCAATTCCCAAGGCACCATCTTCATTCATAATTACTCAACTTAACCAATCGAACATCATGTGTTTACTGAATAAAACAAGGAAACATCATATTGGTCACCTGACCATAATGTATGCCAACAGTACCAAATGCGGTCGAGCCAGCTAACTACCTTGGAATACCGTGATACAACAGGAAGTGCACTGCAAACAAAAATGCTAAAATACACCATATATGAGCCTTTGTTTTCCATTTTAGGTGCACACAACTGGCTAATGCAGAATCATTATGCCTATGAACATTATGTTCTAATAACAGGAAAAGTAGCGATATACATAGGCAACTTTGGCCCGTCCCGTTCATCAGGGAATGTGCAAATTTCGCCTATGTTTAACCCTGACGGGATTTTAACCTGACTCTGGGGTCAAAATAAATGTTATTTTCATCATCAGCGCCCTCAAAAACATCAGAAACAATGCAAAAATTTGAATAAAAAGAATGTCCAAAATATACCCGACTGGGATTTAAACCCCGGGGTCCAAACTTCTCCGATTCGTTTGAAACTGGCACCTTTTGGTTTTGTTTCGTCACCCCGATTCCAAAAATACCCCTACATGACCTCCTAGCTGTATCCGTTGCCGAAATCCTCCCCGACCCCATGTAGACCATGATGCACCTGCAGCAGCGCCCCCGGGGCTCGGATCGGCTTTGCTGCCGCCGGGCGGTTCTTGAATACGCAATGTTATTCATAATACCTAAAAAGCCTTTTATCTCCCTCATATCTTTAACTAGTGGATGAAACTATGTTGATTTATCTCAATTAATTAAAAAGAGACACATTAACAGGCAGGCTGATTGCAACTATACTTTACGGAGAAGACCTTCTGTCAGATCCAATGAATCGTTTCATGGAATCCAATGTCGAGCCAACTTATTGCTAAACGCAAGTTAATCTTATTCAAGATGATAGTCGTGATGTGATATTTAATTTTTCAAACAGTATAGCATAAGTATTTACCTAACATTCTGAGTAAATTAAAAACTCAAACCATGACCGACACAAATTACCAGTTGTTGCAGACGATATATGATGAAGTTAAAAGAATCGTCTCATGAAATCATATGACCAAGTCACTGAATCGTCTCTGAATCAGATGTCAATGTCAAACCTTGTATGCGCTACACTCACTCACCATATTGTTATCTTTAAGGTTAGTACCATAGTAAACTTACAGCCCCTCATGGGAATTTTGGGACGAACATGGAAGTCGAAAGCTGGAACTCATCGGACGAAGCCACTTCGCTCCCACTTCCAAGAAATTCCAGAATGTAACATGTTTTGAAGTCGCCGGAAGTCACGGCCTCTCTTCCACTGACATCCGAAGACTTCCCATGGCTTCCCAGTTGCGTCCTCCGACGTCCCTGCCACTTCCCGAGACATCCCACACACGTCCAGGGACGTCCTACGACTTCCGTTTACATCCTGCGACGTCCGACCCACGACCAGGAACGTCCGACGACTTCCCTGCCACTTTCCAAGACGCCCGATCCACTTCCAGGGACGTCCGACGACATCCCTGCCACTTCCAGGCACGTCCGACGACTTCCCTGCCACTTCCAGCGACGTCCGACGACTTCCCTGCCACTTCCAGTGACGTCCGACGACATCCCTGCCACTTCCAGGCACGTCCGACGACTTCCCTGCCACTTCCAGCGACGTCCGACGACTTCCTTGGGCCCCTTCTAGGGACGTCCGACGACTTCCCTGCCACTTCCAGCGAAAGTCCGAAAGACTTCCCTGCCACTTCCAGGGACGTCCGATGACTTCTCTGCCACTTCCAGCGACGTCCGACGACTTCCCTGCCACTTCCAGGGACGTCCGACGACTTCCCTGCCACTTCCAGCGACGTCCCCACGACTTCCCTGCCACTTCCAGGGACGTCCGATGACTTCCCCCCCCACTTCCAGCGACGTCTGACGACTTCCCTGCCACTTCCAGCGACGTCCGAAAGACTTCCCTGCCACTTCCAGCGACGTCCGATGACTTCCTTGCCACTTCCAGCGACGTCCGACGACTTCCCTGCCACTTCCAGGGGCCGATGACTTCCCTGCCACTTTCCAGCGACGTCCGACGACTTCCCTGCCACTTCCAGGGGCGTCCGACGACTTTTCCCCGCCACTTTCAGCGACGTCCGACAACTTCCAGGGGCACTTCCAACAACTTTCCCCCGACTTCCA